TGACTGTGACTGCGATCGTGACCGTGACCGTGACCGTGACCGTGACCGTGACCTCCAACCCAACTCCAAGCTGACGAGGCGAGGAGCTGTCACAACCTGCAATCGATCCTAGCTGGGCTTGGGGGATAGGAGGGTCAGGCTACAAGCAAAGAAGAGCGAGCCTCTCGAAGCATCACGTGAAGCGCCGGAAGAAGGTCGAATTGGGCCAAACAAAGTTTTGAGTCTTGAGTGAAAATTGGACCACAGCTCTGGATAATCAAGAATCTGGCTATGCCATCTGATCCGCTCGACCTCCCACCGATGAGGGTAGCAATTCTAGGAGGTGGTCCAGCTGGCATGTCAGCTTGTATCGAGCTCTTGCGCGCTGGTCAGGGCAGATTACAGCCAACAGTGTTCGAGCGAAGGAGCCGATTGGGCGGCATCTGGAATCATGAAGACATCAAGAGCAGTAATGTCCTCTTCGATGAGCATGGAAGGGCTCATGCTCTCGCTACAGCCGTCAACGGAGATTGGGCTCCCGGCGCCATGTTTGAAGGATGTGAGGAAAATCGCGAGTCGTTCATTGGCTCAGGTCTCATTCTAGGAAGCTCATGATTACCGCATTCATCCGCCCCGCCTTTGCTTGCTAGTGAGAACGAACATCGCAAGCGACCTCATGACGTTTCGAGATGCGCCATTTGCACCAGGTACTCACTTGTTTCCGGACAGATGTGAGCAAGTCTGCCCACCTCGCCGATCCGATTCGCTCGCGCCGAGCCCTGACCATCGCCTTATCTCGTGCGCGCTACTGACAGCCACGGTGAACGATTACTTGAAGGCCTATGGTGATGATCATGCCGTCGAGCGGCATATTCGATTCAATCGCTCGGTCGACAAGCTCCGCAGGTTGCACAACGTGCCAGGCCAACAGGGAAGATGGGAAGTGACAAGCACTGCTGTGCAAGACTCCTCCTCTGGTGCCCCTCACAGAATCGTCGAGCGTTTCGACAAAGTCGTCGTGCGTGGCTCGAATTAGGTGACATCGTCTTGGGATCATGCGAGCTGATCTTTCGACGCGCTCTTCTTGATCGTCACTAGATCGCGACGGGACGCTGTGCTAGACCTTCGCTGCCGCCAGTGAACGGGCTGTGGAATTATGGAGGCAAGATCATGCATTCGAGCTGGTACAGATCACCGGTACCTTTCCTGGGCAAGGTGCGTGCGCCTCGTAGCTGAGCCGTGCGCGATAGACTTATCGAAAATCGCTCTCGTTGCATGTCCAGAAAGTCCTCGTCGTCGGGAATGCAAGTTCGGGTATGGACATCGCCAGGGAAATGAACGGTTCTGTGTTCCGAGCAATACCGGATCTCAAAGGATCCGACCTCTCGGCTGCGAAGTGGTCAGAAGCGCTGTCCAGAGCTCCAATTCAGGTCTACCAATCGGTCGAAGACGTAGAAAAGCCTCCTCCAATGGATTACGACCCTAGAGATCCCGCTAGTCCAGACTGGTGTCGCAAAATCCAGGTAATCCCTCGGATCAAGCACGTGAAAGCCCGAGACGGTAGCACAGGCCGAATCATCTTCGAAGACGAAAGTGTTCACGATGATTTTGATGCGATCATCTTTGCGACTGGTTTCGTGTTGTGAGTGCAGACTTTTGCTCGCCTAAGGTTGTGTTGCATACACTCGATGCACTTGGCTGAAGCCATGCTCGTCCGCCTCAGCGAGTTCCCGTTCTTGACGAATGACGCGCCATTTGACAAGGTGCCACTCTTACCGACCTTGGCGAGCGATGCTCCAAGAGACTTGTCCCCTGCCCTCCACTGCGCCCTGGAACGGCAAGGAGGGCCTTACGTACCCCCGTCTTCAGCTCCGCGCCTTTCAAATATGGATGACTGGTTATTGTTTTACGAGGGCGATGCCAGCATTTGCGTCCTTGGGTGGGTGCAAGCGCGATTCTCAACGTCTTCATCACCTGGACTCGGCTGAATCACGAAAGTTTTTAACACAGGGCTCCGACCACTGTGATTCCCTTTCACCTCACACAAGCTCAAGCTCGGTGAGTGGCATCGAGCGCAATAACACCGTCAGAGACGGTCAGGTCTGACCCACAATGTCTGGACGCAGATACGTGGCGCATAGATGGCTGGGCAACGTAGGTAGCCTACCCCGTCTAGATCCTCGCCTATCCACTACGGACCCAGCACGGTGGACAAGTCAAAGAGTGACAGACGAGAGACTGTCCACCTGGCCCAATCCCAAGCTTGCAAGTGGTACCAAGTCGGAGTCGCAAGAGGCTTTCCAGCTCGAGAATGAAGGTGCGAATATATGTTCGCACGTCTTTGGTAACCCGTCAGATTCGGCCTACGTAGGTGAGTCGCTTTCTTTGGCACGCTTCTCTGCGAGACTCATTAGATGAGCTCACACTTCTATTGCGCGTCTTGGTCACGCTAGACACGCTCCTCTCGTTGCTGCCCGAAGAAAGGGCTGGAAGTGAAGCTCCATGGGAAGAAGAATACAGACGCAACTCGAACGGGAAGGGCGATGGAAGGCCGCACGGGTCGGAATGTTGGTACAAAACTCCTACTTGGAGAAGGGAGAGGCGGAATAATGGAAGAGGCCTTCGACGAGAGAGACTCGGTTACTAAGCCATCCATGAGAGCGGATTCTGGGTCTATAGCTTCAAGGTCGTCCATCAGAACGCATCCCAATGAGTAGTTTGACCACTACGCGCGGACGTCGATCGCTTCTTGCTACGCGCCATTGCCTGCTGAGATCGGATCATGAGCTTTCAGATCTGACTTCATGCACGCCGTGAGTCTCAGATTTCCACGAAAAAAAATGACAATGTGTCTCGTCTTCCTCCACCGCTCGACCGCAACCTGCCTCCGTTCGCAGACGATACCGTCTTCTATAGGCCGTCACCCTGTGAGCAATTTTCACCGCTAGGTCGGCGCAGTTCGAGCGTGGCCGATGCTTGAGGGGCAATCTCGCGCCAATTGTTTCTGCTGGGGAACCTATAGGACAACGGCCCGAAGGTCAGCAGAGAGAGGCTTGACTAGCCG